ATTTAATTTTTTAGATACTTTCTTCTTCATCTTTCACCATTTGGTCTTCTTCTCTAATTTTACTCTTTTCCTCTTCTTCCCAACAACAGTCATTCTACACACAACCATCCGATGCCGTCTGGCCACGCTCTTCCCTGCCACAAACTTAGTCTCTAATCTCCCTCAGGTTTCTTCTTCTACACAGAATGTAGTCGACCTGCATACTCCTTCCTCCACTCTTATAGGTCACTATGTTCCTCCTTCTTTTGGAAATGGGTGTTAACTATAGTCATTTACGATCTCTTGGCAAAATCCACCACCATCTGTCCTTCCTGGTTTCTTTCCTTGACACCGAACCTACCCATCACTTCCTCATCCCCTCTGTTTCCTTCACCAACATGTCCATTCAGGTCTGCTCCGATCACCACTCTTTCCTCCCTGGGAATATTCTTGATTACTTCATCCAGATCCTTCCAAAATGTATCTTTCTCCTCCTCATCACATCCAATCTGTGGAGCATAACCACCGATGATGCTTAGCATTAGACCTTATACAGTGCCTTGCAAAAGTATTCGGCCCCCTTGAACTTTTCAACCTTTTGCCACATTTCAGGCTTCAAAACATAAAGATATAAAATACAATTTTTTTGTGAAGAATCAACAAGTGGGACACAGTCGTGAAGTGGAATGAAACTTATTGGATGTGTCAAACTTTTTTAACAAATAAAAAACTGAAAAGTGGGGCGTGCAATATTATTCGGCCCCTTTACTTTCAGTGCAGCAAACTCACTCCAGAAGTTCAGTGAGGATCTATGAATGATCCAATGTTGTCCCAAATGACTGATGATGATAAATAGAATCCACCTGTGTGTAATCAAGTCTCCATATAAATGCACCTGTTCTGTGATAGTCTCAGGGTTCTGTTCAAAGCGCAGAGAGCATCATGAAGACCAAGGAACACACCAGGCAGGTCCGAGATACTGTTGGGGAGAGGTTTAAAGCCGGATTTGGATACAAAAAGATTTCCCAAGCTTTAAACATCCCCAGGAGCACTGTGCAAGCAATCATATTGAAATGGAAGGAGTATCAGACCACTGCAAATCTACCAAGACCTGGCCGTCCCTCTAAACTTTCATCTCGAACAAGGAGAAGACTGATCAGAGATGCAGCCAAGAGGCCCATGATCACTCTGGATGAACTGCAGAGATCTACAGCTGAGGTGGGAGAGTCTGTCCATAGGACAACAATCAGTCGTACACTGCACAAATCTGGCCTTTATGGAAGAGTGGCAAGAAGAAAGCCATTTCTCAAAGATATCCATAAAAAGTGTTGTTTAAAGTTTGCAACAAGCCACCTGGGAGGCACACCAAACATGTGGTTTGAAGGTGCTCTGGTCAGATGAAACCAAAATCAAACTGTTTGGCCACAATGCAAAACGATATGGTCGGCGTAAAAGCAACACAGCTCATCACCTTGAACACACCATCCCCACTGTCAAACATGGTGGTGGCAGCAGCATGGTTTGGGCCTGCTTTTCGTCAGCAGGGACAGGGAAGATGGTCAGAATTGATGGGAAGATGGATGGAGCCAAATACAGGACCATTCTGGAAGAAAACCTGTTTGAGTCTGCAAGAGACCTGAGACTGGGACGGAGATTTATCTTCCAACAAGACAATGATCCAAAACATAAAGCCAAATCTACAATGGAATGGTTCACAAATAAACATATCCAGGTGTTGGAATGGCCAAGTCAAAGTCCAGACCTGAATCCAATCGAGAATCTGTGGAAAGAGCTGAAGACTACTGTTTACAAACGCTCTCCATCCAACCTCACTGAGCTCGAGCTGTTTTGCAGGAAGAATGGGCAAAAATTTCAGTCTCTCCATGTGTAAAACTGATAGAGACACAAGAGACTTGCAGCTGTAATTGCAGCAAAAGGCAGCGCTACAAAGTATTAACGAAAGGGGGCCGAATAATATTGCACGCATCAGTTGTCTGGGGTGGCCATATTGAGCTGGGTTGACTCCAAAAGTTAATCAGCTGTAGAGGAACATTTCATGATTATTTCATGAAAGTTTAATTTTATATCCATCCAGTGGTTCATGAAGTATCTTGCTAACAGACAAAGAATTGACTCCACTAAAAGTCAAAATGTCGAACAATTATCTTGAGTAAATCTGTTAGTCCTCATGGGTTGGGGACGAGTCAGATACTGCTGTTTAGCTTCATATACCAGTATGTAAAAAAGACGGTTTCAGCCATTTTTATCCAACGACATAAACTGAACAAGAAACATCAACAGATGCTGCTTTGAAGCCAAAGAAAGATGCCAAATAAGAATTAAATGTAGTTTGTTTTTGTTCATTATTTTTGAAATTAATAAAAAAATAAAACAATCAGATTTGTTTGTGAGAGCAGTCTTACCTGGCCCACAGGCTGTGTGGGGGGAACAGGGCCTGGGCCAGCAGGCTCTGGTACAAGTACAGGCACACCAGGTGACCGGCGGTGAAAAAGCCCACCATAACACACAACGCATTGAAACCCAGGTGACTGATAGGTAGATGACAAGCCCACCACGTGCACACGCCGATAAAAAGGAGGAAGTAGATGGCTGAGAAGGCAGACGGCAGCGTGATGCCTGGAAATAAAAAGAAAGTGAAAATGTATTTTTAATTTTTAGACAGACGTGGGTTTAAACATTAAATCTGATATACTTGTTGTCAGAGCAGGATGAGTTACTCCTGACATGTTTATGTAAGAACACAAGCATCTTCACGTTCCCTTGGATGTTAACTTGACACGATGTTTCTGCAGACCAGTCACAACCCCCACCCCACAAGGCAGACGCACCACACTTCCCTACAGTTACAGCCCCTCCCTCCTCTGCACAGCTGGGCAGCAGAGCTGTTCCCCCACTCTAAAAACTACCCAAACTAATTCAATGGTATCTTAATCGACCCCCCCCCCCGCCCCCCACCACACCACACCACAACCCAGAGTCAAAGGGAGTAGTGCCAGTGTCCTTGGTACTGGACACTCCAGCACTCCCAATATAAATCCTACGCCCACGTCTCCCTTTTTATCCTCCCCTATCACTATTCCAGACTGGACCCAAGCCCAGGGATCCTTTTAAGCTCGTTCAAATTAAGCACACCTGCTGCTGGAAGGTGCAGCTGCGCCGTCAGGGGAGCTCAGCTTTTATTTAGGCACCGTGCCACGGGGCCTCAGGTTCCTGGTTCAGTAGTTAGTGACTGCAGGTCTGCAGTACACCTCCTCACTTGTTAGTGGATGCTTGGTTCTGGATCCAGTTAACGGTTCAAATGGTAGCCAAGCTTGCTTTCATGTATCTGTCTTTGTCTTTGTCTTGGTCTGGATGCTGTAGGAACATTTGATTATGTTGTTTAATCCTGAATTAGTCATTTTGTGACCTCTAAGGTCAGGTGGCTGTGGCAGCCACACTGAACTGGTTACACTTCTAAAGATAAACAGGTGTGGATGTACGTCCAGTGATTACTGTCCGAGTTCCATTAAAAGTTGTTCCAGTAATTCATTCATTCATTTTGCTAAAAGGTAAATGGACTGTACTTATATAGCACCTTTCTATCTTAGTTCAAGATACTCAAAGCTCTTTACAATCTGTGTCCTCATTTACCCACTCATACAGCACTCTACAAGATCTCTACAAAGATAATTGAACAAATCATCCTAAAGAGATTAATCAGAGCTTTATCACATTCATACACTGATGGGACACACATCAGAGGCTATGAGGGGTTCAGTGTCTTGCCCAGGGACACTTCAGCATGTGACTGCTGGTGGATTCGAACCCCATACTCTTGCATCGGAAGACGACCGCTCTAACCACTCAGCCACAGCCGCCCAAGTTGACTCAAATTCATTCAACCTGTATTTAAACAGGTTAATCCCATTGAGCCTAAAGAGCTCATTTACGAGAGACCTGAATAGTTATATAAATATTATGGTTAGTTATGGGCAGCACGGTGGCGCAACTGGTAGAGATGCTGCCTCTCAGCGAGCAGGTCCTTGGTTCAAACCCCGGTCCAGGGGCCATTCTGGGTGAAGTTTGCATGTTCTCTCCGTGCATGCGTGGGTTTTCTCCGGGTACTCCGGTTTCCCTCCCACAGACCAAAAACATGCATGTTAGGCTGATTGGTAACTCTAAATTGTCCATAGGTGTGAGTGAGAGAGTGAATGGTTGTTTGTCTCGTTTGTCTCTATGTGGCCCTGTGATGGACTGGAGACCTGTCCAGGGTGTACCCCGCCCCTCGCACAGTGATTGCTGGACATGGGCACCAGCGACCCCCGTGACCCAAAATGGAATAAGCGGGTAAAGAAAATGGATGGATGGATGGATGTACACACTTAAAACAAAGAAACGTTATTGCTCGCTGTATGCTTAGCAGCCTTTAGATCTAAGCCTGTCTTTAATGTGTTTAAATGGAGGTTTAATCAGATGATGTGCTTAAATAAGCAATTGTGATTTAATTATTAGTCTTGGTGGTGTCAGGAACGGGATTTTGGATAAGCCAGACACAGGAGTACAAAAAGAACAGTTTACTTTTGCTGCTGGTTGCTGGAGTCAGGATCAGGAGTTTAACAGGTAGGAGAGAGTCACCTGTCAACAATGACGTCACTTCAGAGCAGCTGCAGTACGTGGTTCATGGAGGGGCAAGTCCAAGAGCAGGGTCCAGATAACAAAGCAGGGGTCATACACAGGGAAACAGAGAGCAGAAACCAGAGCCAAGTTGTAATCCGTAATCTTAGTCGTGGAGGGAAAGCAGAGTTGTTTACCGTGGTCTGATGTGAAGTCAAAAATCCAAAGAGGGACGGGCAAAGCGAAGAATCCAGGAAACAGGTGTGAGGTCAATAATCCAGAGAGCAAGGCTAGAGGTCTAGGCATGAATCTGTGAAGGCTTGAAAATCAGGGACCATGGAAGGTGTAATAATCTCGCCCTGGTGGAGAGGGAGAATGGAGCTTATAAAGGGTGCAGAGCAGGTGAACTAGATGAGCTGAAGCAGGTGAGTGGAACCAGGGCTGATTGTTGTGATAAACAAGGGAGGCGTGGCTTGGAAGGAGTAGGCTTGAGCTGGAGATGGGTGATAGGCATTACAAAGCAGGGGAAAAGGAACTATGGCATGAGGGCTGAAACAATAGCAGGAGTGAGTGAGTGTGAGACGGGCCAATGGGGGTTTTGGGGGGGGGGGGGGGGGGGTGTCAGTGGGGGCCACTGACCATTACAGGTGGGCCACCTTTCAGTCAGAATCAGACTTTCTTTTTGCTTTCTAACAGCTATAACAGGATTATTGTTGATGCTGTCTGCAAACTTGCTCTATTTTGGTCTTCTTTTGCTCTATTTAGCATTTAGCTCTTCTTTTACTAATTTCAGTTTTTGACTACTGTTTTGCTTATTTCAGCTTTTAGCTATGGCTTTATTAATTGAAGCTTTAGCTATGATATAGCTAACTTTGGCACTCAGCATCCATTCTGCAAATTACAAGTTTCTCTAATTACAATGACATTTTCTATTCTTTAAACAAAACATTATCTTATGAAAAACAAATCCAGTGAATCTAATGGGAGTTCAGAAATGTCTGAACATGAACTTTGATCATGAATGATTCAGTTATGAACTCAACTTTAGGCGAGTTCTTGCAAAAAGTGAACTTGCACAACACTGGTGAGCAATGTCTGGATGCTGAGCCACAGTAAACAAAATAAATCAGAGTAAATGTCAACGTGAACATGTGGGTGGATTGCTGTGAAACTGTGAGGACACCTTTATCTTTATTTTTACATTTCTTTATTAGTCAGGACCGTGCACAGAAAAACATTAAACTGGAATTAAGCAGAGATGCACTGTGCCAGATTATAGCTTTTTAGCTCATTTCAATCTGCAGTCCCTCTGGAAGTCTCTAGAAAAGAAACTAAATAAGTCTAAGTAAAAAACAAACTATAAAACAGTACACAGAACACATTACACCATAAAAAGAGAAAAGTTATCAGCATGTTCTTACCAGCCAGACCCAGCAGGCTGACAGCCAGGATCCTCCCCAGGTCACACAGAACCTTCTGGGCCGTGGCTTTTAGACGCTCAGCCAGCTTCTTGGCTCTGGACGCTGGAGAAACCTCCTCAGGGTCACCGTGAAATGACCTCTCCTCCTCTTCCTCTTCTTCTTCCTCCTCCTCCTCCTCAGCTTCATCATCATTATCACCTGATGACTCTTCATCATCCTCGACATCTGATGTTTTATCTGCATAATAATCTTCTAGCTAATAAAAAAGAAGTTGCAGTTACTAAAGCAAGAAGTGAGAGTTTAGAGATAAAAGTGACCGAGAATGAATCGTTTTCTAACTCGGGGGTTTCTGAGGTTGGAGGTGGGAACCTACTTTGTGTCTGAAACACCAAATGAGGGTCTTACAAAAATCAATCAAAGCCCTAACATGATTACAAACAGTTTTTAAAAACTATTATAAGTGAATGGAAGCATGTCACTTGCACCTTCATGCCAGAGGGTTAGATGTTTATTACAATCCTCTCATGATGATAAATGAGTTGTATCTGTTTTGGTTGAACCTGGTAATACCACACATATCATGCACTATGGTAAGATCTCAGGAGACGTGATGTCACTCAGAGAACGTGCTGCTGTCATAATCTGTGGGTTTTTCACTGTTCTTTTGTTTTGTTGAGGATTCAGTTTGTTTTATGTTGCTCCTTGTGTTTTCTTTTCACACTTGTTCACCTTGTTGATTTTCTAAGATTCCTTGAGTTTAGTTTTCCGGTGTCTCTGTGTCCTCCCATTCTTTTCCCCTCAGCCTATCATTCAGACCTGTTTCCCATATTCAATAGGCTCAGCTCCTCTCAACCCTCTTATAATCCCAGTCCTCATCAGCTCATCAGTCATCTGTTGGATTGTTTGTCTCCTGAATGTTCCTATGGTTTAGTTTAGTTTCTTTCTTCGTTTGCTACCCTGTCTGCTTTTTGATTTAATTAATAAAGCTCTTCTTGTTTGTTAAGTCCTTATGTCAGTCAGCATCCTTGGATCCTGGCTTGCAAAAAAAACTAACAGTTGGGGATGATTCTCACCTAATGTATCAATATCAGTAAAGCCGATTCAGTTTTAGCCATTTTGTAGGTTTAAGTAAATGAACTACGGCAAATATTTTTTTAAATAAAAAAAACAACTATGGCAGCCATTTTGACTTAGGCTGACACCAAATGTTAATGAGTTGTCGATGTACATCCAGTTATCACTTTCTGCAAGTTTCACTTAAACTGTGTGCTTCATGAGACATTTTTAACAAGTTGATGCAAATTATTGGAGAAGTTTGAAGCAAAAATATCATGCAATGTATAACACTTGATGTGTGTGTTAGTGACAAAGATCAGCTACAAATCTTTGCTCAGCACCTGTGAAAGTGAGCATGAATCTGTTTTCCACGATCATCTTGAATGAAGTTGACTCTAAAGTGTATCAGTTGTAGATGTACATCTATTTATTACGTTTTGGGAGATTCAATAAAACCCACCCAGCATGTTATATGGTATGTTGTGTAGGAACTCGTAAATTTTAATTTTAAGGTTTGACCAAAAAAGCTTGATCTTTGTCATCTTTCAAGAGAAAATATCATTTTCAACAGGAACATTTCCAGAAAATATGAAAATAGCAAAGATAGTTCCTCTTTATAAGAATGGTGAGAATTGTGTGTTCACTAATTACAGACCAATATCCTTGTTGCAACAATTTTCAAAAATATTAGAGAAATTACTTGTAACTAGATTAGACCAATTTATAGATAAACAGAACATTTTCAGTAATAGTCAATATGGGTTTAGAGCAAATAATTCAACACCAATGGCTCTCATGGAACTAATAGAAGAAATAACAAATGTTGTTGATCAAAAACAGTATTGTGTTAATGTGTTTAAGACGGACTACATTCTTTCTCTCTTTGCTTTTTTCACTCAGTTCTTCACACACATTCAAATCCAGACACTAAAAGCACAGCGACATGCAGAGACGTACCGATGTAATGTTGGCAGCGGCCACCATCTCTCTGTTCCTGATCAGTCTGCTGCAGAGGACAATCGTCACCAGGGACACCACACACACACCTACGTCTGGACTTAAAAGACGAACAACATTCCATGGATCCTCTAAGGGAAGCCTACAGCACACACGAAGAACAAGTTAGGTGTCAATAATAACATGTTTCACTTTTATGAGAAGTGTGTGTGTGTAGGTTTATCTGCAAAGACTGAACCATTCGTTGTATTTTCTTATTTTGCTGTATTATTGTCATTTCTGGATGGTGAGTGTGGAATGTCCAGTAAGGACACCACAGCACCAGGGTGTGAAGGACTGCTCTGCCGTCTTCACTTTAGGTTTCTCAAAGGGCAGCTGAGGTGAACCTGCTGGACGTCCTCAAGATTACCCTGATGCTGCAATTTCAGAAAGCTCTGCAAACGAAGGCGGGCACATATTCTCTGAATAAACAGACTGACTTTTGTGGGGGGTTTATATTTCTTAGATCTATATAGTCTAACATTATTTATAGCAGGTTGCAGAACTAAATACTAGGAATGTCATGGTACCGCCATGATTCAGTTCATGCCTCGATATGAAGGTCACAGTTCACTACAACAGAGCAAATACCAAACAAAAACTTATTTTTTCCCAGAACCAGATGAAAAACAAAAACTGCCCTTGCAATTGAGGAGGCTCAAATGTGGCAAGACAAACCGTCATATATGATAAAACTGCCTGCCATACCTCTCATCTTCACTTTCAAATAAAAACGCGTCACATTGTACTGTCCTTTGAATTTAATCTGAACTGTAAACAATGTCTGCCAGTGCATGTGTCAAACAGAAAGTTTGAGAAACTCCAGAAAGGTACTTTTATCTTTTGATGTAGAAAATATTACAATACAACAAAAACAAAGGAGTGTTTGCTTCATGAATTTGACCTCGACTTGAAGCTAAATGAAAAGCAATACAGCATCTCTTTGATATTAGAGACAGCAAATAAATGCACAAACAGCCAATGGACATTTCAAAGTGTGCATAAAATGACATAACTGCTTGCCATTAGGGGATGAACAAGTATATAATTTTTTAACTCGACATTAACATAATAAAACCCGAGTAGAACTCGAGTATTTGATGACGTCATAGATCTCAAGATACAAAAATAAATAAATAAATAAAACCGCAAAAAATGTAATTATTTACAAACAAAAATACCAACAAAACATTGGGAGCGTATATTATGCTCCTACCATTTATCATACTGCAAATAAGTCGCAGGAAAAACTAAACTATTAGTTATTATTAAACTGCAAATGTGAAGAAATGCAGCACGTCAAAAACGAAACTTAACGTGGGGGGGGGGGGGGTTTGACCACCCCCGCACCACCGCCAGCTGTGCTGCGCATTAAGTTTAGTTTTAGAGATTAATATGTTTATAGATTTTTTAATAGGTTTAGAGATTAATATTTTTTGCTTTTTGTTTGTGAAACAAGGTCAGAGGAAACTGATTCTGGTTCGGTGGATTGGACCCGGTGTTACACCATACTCTGTGACCTGCAACACTGCAACACCGCCCCCTACGGTCATATGGTGGTCACATAATATGACGTCACTACGGTTACTCGACGTTACATTTTTAACCTCGATAGATGTCCTAGCAATCGATGTGTAGACTACTCGAGTACTCTTTTAATGCCCTACTTGCCATACTGGCATTTCTCGGCCCTCTACCGCTGTGGCAGCATGACAGGAAACGTTTTGCACACAGCTGATTTGAAACAAAACAGGCAGGTCTTTAAGCTTCTCTGTTATCATTAAGCAGCCAGTGTTGGTTTAATGTAGAGTATTTAAACAACATTTTCCTCTGCTTCTTTTTTGTAATATTTTAGCAAAGTACAGGTCCTGATCCTTAATGGGTAGGTATATGTCATGTACTTCCATGTACTTGTGCCATATGTTTGTACCACAATAGTTCTGTACAAATACACAAGCCGTTATACTCCTACTAAATACATACCTGGATAACCCTATGTGCCTGCTTATGGTATCCCATTGTGAACAATTATCGCCTATAGCGAGGTCCAGAGGAGGGTACGTGTGCAGCACTGTCTGGAAACAGATATGAGACAGTACGAACAGGAGACTGGTGCAGAATACGGTTTTGATAAACCGACCTGTGTGACCTATAAAAAAAGACAAAGAAATAGAGTTAAACCAGCATGCTACAATAAATCATACATTTTTAAACAATTAATAAAATAAACCCTCCAAGGTTTTATTTCTGTGATTTATTTTTATATTTGGAAAAATATGAATTATTTATTCCTCTTGGTTTGTTGCATTTATCCTCTAAACAAAACCTTTCACCAGTTTGTAAATACTCAAACTGCTGAGCAAATATATTTAAATTATTTTAAATATAGCTCCAAACACAACCAGAAAAATGATTATTCTTCTAGAAAGTTGTTTAATTTGAAGAATGGAAACATTTATTTTACACCTACTATTTGACAGAAATCTAAATGTCAGCAAGTAAAGAAAAAGTTTGCATGGACAGTAAATGTAGTTGCTTTAGATTTGTCTCAGTCCTATACTTGTGTTTTTTATGAATTTCAAATTATAACAAATGATTGAACATAAAATTAAATGATAGCAAACTCCATCCTAAACTTCCAGGAACTGACCAAAATTTACAAAAAAAAACAAAAACAACAACTTCCATGCTATGCTTGTTTTTTTTCCCACTGGCTCTCTAACGAGGCGCACGCATTCTCCCCACTCCCTGTTCTCCTCCTGCTTTTTTGCTCTCTGTCTGTGTATCGGAGCAGCTCCTATTTTTACACATCTTTCGAAATGAAAACTACCGTTTTGGATGTGACCAACTGGACTTTCGACATAAATGACAAAATCTTTTTAACAAAGCGACAGGGTCCAGAAGAACCCTCATCTGTTCGGACGACACGCATGCAGCTGGATAATTCTCTGGGGGTGAAGTGTCTACCTCTGCTTTCGTTCAAGGACGCTGAAATTGCATAAAATTTGATTTATGACAACAGATTTCCTGTTTTTGGAATAGTCTAGATCCTGGTTTATCAATGTACAAAAAAGACGGGCGCAGCTAATTTGGACCTCGTCAGGCTGCTGCCTATGTGAAGGTTGGTTTGTGCTTGGAGGACTCAAAATCAGCTGAGTTACAAGCAAAACCGTAAGATGGAAGTGATTTGAATCGCAGGCCACCTGCGGCTTTGGAACTCGTCAGCATGAAAACAACCTTGAAGAAGCTCGTAAGCACGAACCAGTAGAATGCACCCTAATCTGGACATTTCGGACCTTGGAAGTATCAGTACAGACTCAAAGGCTGACAAGGATAAAATAGTCTGCCTGAATAAATCAACAATTGTGGTTATCTTAATCTGACTCCCCGGTTGGCCTCCACACAGGCCGACTTATCAATTTCTCCTGGGAAATGTGTAAACTAAGGAAAAGCTTCTTCTATCGCAACTGGCAGAGTTTTTTTATGTCTTAAATCGTGTCCTGTTAGGACAAGGTGTGAAGAGATCTTTTTTGTAATGCCACTACTCTCTCCTCGTGGCTTTGTCCCTTTTTCTATCTAAAAAATGTATTCTGAAAAGGATAAGAAGGCCGCGCTTTATAGCAGCAGCTACGTGCACTCCACCCATCTTTCAGACAACTGTATGGACATGTTCTTGTTGTATCTCGATGCAACGATAATAAAGCTTATTCAGATTCAGATTCTGATTCTGACATGTTGGTCTCACCTTTGATGGTGTATTTGTTGGGAAACAGGAACCATGGTAGCAGCAGAAGATAAAGAAAGTAAACCAGCGACAGCAAGTTAAATCGAAAAAGACAAGCTGCAAGAAATAAAAGCAAAAACATGTCAGTGAAACAACAATGAAACGGTTCTAGTTAGGCGTTTTAGCTTCCAGGTGAAAGGACTTAAAGTGAACGTACAGTCTGATGACACAAAACAGCAGGAAGTACCGGTGTTGTTACTGTGGCTGAGGACATCAGAACTCATCAGTCAGGCTATGCAACAATGGTCAAGAACACTTTTCTCTGATTCTTATCATTTCATAGTTAGAAAACTCTGAGCTTCAGCTCAACAGAGCTGGCTAAATGTTTCCTTGTAGTACAACCCTCAGAGACTTTTGTAGAGTGAAAAAGTAAAAAGATGTTTGTTTTTCCCCAACAAAGTTAAGTCAGGTCCTCTGGATGGTTTCCTTTTTGATGAAACGTTTCATCTTTCTTCCAAAAGACTTCATCAGTCTGAGAAGCCACAACAGACTCAGTCCCACAAGCAGCACACACACTCACATAGTGGACCAACCAGTTTGATGGTGATGAGATGGTTTCTGGAGTAAATGTTTGTTTGTTTGTTTGTTTGTTTGTTTGTTTTGACCAAGACAATTACACACATCAGTTTGAATAATGGTTTGGAGTTAGTTTTTGTACTTTGAGTTTGTTCTTTCTTTGGTTTCATGACATTTATAGGTGTTGTGGTCATCTTGCTCACTGATCTCATCAGTTGCCCTCACTGTTCAGCTCCACTCACCTGCGTCTCACCTATCTGATCTCAATCACCCTCACCAGAGCTCATACTCAGTCTGAACCGTGTGGTCCCAAGTTCACCACAGACTTTTGTTAGAGGTTACGAGCGTCATCCAGAACCCGTCTCATGCCTGAGTCAGCATTTGTGTTCTACTATAACTACTCACTACACAGTAACTAGTTGGGATTGGATGTCTTCAGAAAATGACCAATATCTCATATAATAACAGCGTCCTCGTATTACTACTTCTTTAAACTTTATTTAACCGAGGAAAACCAGCGTCCAGGCCAAGACAGGCAGCAGCTCCAAACAGCACTAAAACACAACATGCACAGATGGGAAAAACAATCCATATGTAATGTAGAAATCAATATTTTAAGATGTAACATTTATATGTTTTTATTGTATTTTAATTCCTATGTTGTCCATCAGTGCAGTTTAAATACAGTATCAACATGAGTACTTAGCTTATTTGCAAGACATAATTTATTCAAGTTTTATTGATGACTGCATCAGGGGTTCCTTCCAATTACTGTTGCAATGTTTTTGCAGAACATAAACAGCATTTACTGCCTTAGTAGATGTTTTAAAAAAGACACGACAGAACTGAATGTTTGGTCATTTTTGAGTGATAAAATATTGGAAACCTGCTAAACCAAGTTAAGATTGAAAAAAATTTAAAACTTGTAGAAACCAGTTTCAAAAGCAAAAGGTGATTTACAAAAAAACCCAAACTAGGTTTATATGAATAAAAAAGTTTCACAAATATGCAAGCTTCATATTATATGTTTCTTAGTAGGAAGTGTTTAATATTTCCTACAAACCTTTATTTTAATTTTAAATAAAACAAGTCAAATTTGCATGCATCACAATAATCACTGTATTTTTGAAAATTCAATTGTAACAAACACAAATACACAGACGCATGTTGTGTATTGACCAGTTTGCATATTTGTGGCTTTTTTATTCTGTAAAATAGATTTATTACAAATTTGCATGCTGTTCATTCAAAAAGAACCAAACTTCACAAACTAGAGAAAACATATGATTTGAAACTGACACTAAGTCAGTTAGGATTGTGTAGTTTGTTTCACACTGAACCACTGATTTAAAATTTGAAAATGTTTACAGAGGTGGTGTTTACAAATCACTCGTATATGAGTTTTGACAACACGTGGAAAAATATTCATTTCTGAGGATGGGGAAATATTTGTTGATTGGTATATGTGTGTTCTAGATAATAAGTAAAAAGTCTAAGAAAAGCTTTTGTACTTCGGCTCCTATTTTTTGGGGGTTTCTTCAGCAACTGAGAACTAAATAGTTTGGAACAAAAACCTAACTTTAAAATCTATACTCTGTCTTAGAAGTTAGTTTTTTCTTCCTCATAGTAAATATCTGCAGCATCGGCCCGAAACATTTTTCTTTCTTATAGTTGAATTTAATGTGGAGCCTTAGGGAGACGTTGAAATTATGTTACAAAGCTGCATCAGCACTAGAGGGTGTAAAGTAACTTTTACTGTTAATGTGTATATTTTGCAGATGAACAGGTTTACAGTGAAAACTGCAGAGTTTAAAAGCAGTAATATTATAGACCTTTATCGTTATCCTAGTGCATGTAACAGAACAGCAGTTTCCCGCCTTTAACTCCTGTATCTGAAACAGAAGAGCTGAGAACGAAGGCGCTCCACCCCACCGTCCAACTAATCTAGATTCATGCTCAAATTGATGTCTATGTGCAAACAAGATAACTCTGTTCACCAACCACTGCTGCTTCTATCAGTAACCAGGACGTGAACCTCTGTCTGGCCTGTTTTTGTCAGCCAGTCTTTTTTTTTAGACTTTGACGATTGAATTGTGTCAGATGGTTAAAACCTACTCTAGTACAGGCTCCAGTCAGATGAGCTGGACTTTTCCATGATGAACCTCTCTCTGATTCTACAAACGGAGATCAATCAAACTGCTGACTGCTTCAGATGCAGACTGCTGTTAAATTCCAGAGAGAGATACATCAAAATATTTTAACGATCCCTTTACCAGAGTAACAGAGTAACAGAGTAAGTATGCGGTTAGTTCTGACTTCTGTACTGAAAATGACTCACGAGCCTAACACACACAGCAATTACTCCTCTGTCAAACATGACTGTCTTACAGATTTTATTTTCATAAAAATCTAACCCAGAATGCATGAAAAAAACTTTGAGGTTTAGTCCCTTTGATTGTTATAAATTTAGTACATGTATATGAAAATTCAAACTAGCCACTAGGGAGCACAAGCCCCTTGTGGCGGTCCCAAGCTCGGGTAAATGGTGAGGGTTGTGTCGGAGGAAGGGCATCTGACATAAACTTTTGCCAAAAATAACATGTGGGTTCATCTAAGCAACACCATACCAGATCAGTCGAGGACCGGATTAACAACGAATGCCTCCGGTGCTGTTGACGAACAGGGCGCGGCTACTGTTAGTCGAAGACCACGAGGAGGGAAACGTGTCAGGAGACAGAGGGAGAAGAGGAAAGTAAAGAATGTCGGACTGAGGGTTGCAAATCTAAATGTGAGGACAATGACAGGCAAAGGTGGAGAGCTGGCTGATATGATGCAGAGAAGGAAGGTAGATGTTTTACATATCCAAGAGACCAAGTGAAAGGGCAGCAAGGCTCACAGCATTGGAGCAGGGTTCAAACTGTTTTACCATGGTGTGGATAGAAAGAGAAATGGAGTAGGGGTGGTTCTGAAGGAGGAGTTGGCAAAGAATGTAGTGGAGGTGAAGAGAGTGTCAGATAGAGTGATATGTCTGAAGGTAGAAGAAGAAGGTCTGATGCTAAACATTGTCAGTGGTTATGCTCCAAAGGTTGGATTTGACGTAGAGGGGAAAGATGAATTTTGGAAGGATCTGGATGAAGTGATAGAGAGTATTCCCAGGGAGGAGAGAGTGATGATCAGAGCAGACCTAAATGAACATGTTGGTGAAGGAAACAGAGGAGATGAGAAAGTGATGGGTAGGTTTGATGTCAGGGAAGTAACCAGGAAGGACAGACGGTGGTAGATTTTGCTAAGAGAATGGAAATGGCTGTAGTCAACACATATTTCCAAAAGAGGGAGGAACATAGAGTGACCTATAAGAGTGGAGGAAGGAGTACGCAGTTTGACTGCATATATATGCATATACACAAATATATATATATATACACATATATATATACACATATATATATACACATATATATATACACATATATATATA